GATTAAACGAATTATTTCCCTATGGGAAAATTTACACCAGTTCGTTTCGCCTAGTGTTCATGTGTATGTATACATGATCAATGCCTTCCTCAATTTCTTCTCTTTGGGATGTTTATCTCATAAAAAAACAGCTCAACACGCGTGATATAAACACAAGAAGTAGTTTTATATTCACTGGTCCACTCGTTTATTTCTTTACTTCTTGAAGTTATTCAGTGATGAATAGAACCGGGATGTTGAAGCTCACCTTGCCTATAATCTCTATTTTGATAGTGTGGAGTAGCTACAAGGTCTGGCCAGTGGTATACAGCATTTTCGATGCTGATGACTCTGAACAGGTTATAAAGAATCTTCAAAGTACACAGTATGACTTTATCGTAGGTAAGCGTTTCCTTTTGGTGTCTTATTTTAATATGAATAGACTTACTCATATATGATAATTTGAGGAGATTAAATTTAATTCCGTGTTAATTTGTGAAACAGTGTTGTTAATTGGATGAAAAAGTCTAGGGCATACTTTATTGTTCATAAGCATATCATCAACTTTGTCTAGGTGACTTCGAAACTCAACTTTAATAGTTATCGTCCTCTTTTACCATTTGTTGTAGGGCTTGTAGAATTTCCCGCATTGTCCAGGATAAGTACTGACTCATTCCTGTTGTACATGCTCTCTCTCAGTTGTCAGTTTTTCTTCCCATCTCATCATATTAGATTTTAAGGCTGTCATCTTGTCCCATCCTACTGTATGGTTGTATGTAACTACACGTAATGTTATGTATAACTAGGTTTTGTTTTTCTAAATCCCTTATTTTACTAGGGTGAACTAAACCAGATTTTGTTAGGTTTATGTGTTCTGCTAATTTGAATGACCCTCTGCCTACTACTTTGAACTGTACATTTCACCTCATCAAAATTAATTTGTTTACTGGGCTGTACAAGCTCCTTTAACTGATAAAGCTTGTTTCATAAGTGCGTTTGTTGGTTTCAGTATCTCTTTTGTTCCTGCCTTGTTAAGAACTCTGTGTGGGATTTCAGAGGTTCCCTGTTGTTGTTTTTTGTTGGTAACATCTTTCTGAGTACGTTTGTCAGTCATATCGCGCTTACTATTATTATTATTTTTAATTTCATGCTTACAATTTCACATATACATCCTGATTAATTTTTCAGGATAGTTATGAAGTGTCAAAGCTCCTCTAATATGTCTTACTTTCTGCCGTAGATTTCCTTTCGTTATACATGGCTGTTTTACACTGTTAATTATACATTTCAATAATCCTGTTGATTTCCACTGAAATAGAACTTGATAGATCGAAATCCAATTATCGGTTTGAATGTATGGGTTTCCTGTAAACAGTAATATTTAACTTCCCATTGAATTTCATTGTGATTATTATTCCCTTGGGTTCCGAGTGGAATACAGAGCTGCAAAAGTACATCTCCATTTTGTCCTACTTTCTACAGTCGTCTTTAGATGGCTTCGAGATTTCCCATAGGCTCTCGTCTCCTCCTCACACGATCTTCCCTATATCACCCTCCGACAGACTTCGTTCCCCATTTAGGATTCCACTCGAGTAATGGCCTGGAGCGTGATTTCACTTTACAGTCTCCTCAGTATGTGTTCGAACCATCTACCACTGATCCCTTTAGAATATTTGTTGAGCTTTGGGTTCTTGGTCGGTTCGTTCCCAGAGTTTCTTGTTACTAATTTTTCCTGACTATTAAACTACAGTATGGAGAGAAGGAATTCGCTGATAAAAGTCTTAAGCTGGCTGTTAGAAATGCTTTCGTTGATGAATGCGCGAAGTTTCTGATCCATATAAAAGAACTGAGCGAATTAACATTGATGGTGAAAATCAGAATGTTGTTCTCAATGCTAAGTGCAGAAGATCTCAACATTCATTTCACAGTGATAAAGGTCTCCCTTGTCTTTCCGATTCTGGTCTACACGTTCTCATCTGTGCAGATTATCTGTAACTGAGACGATTATGAGTGACCCCATTCAGACTCCTTCTGTTGATAGTGATTGGTGCTTGTTGTTGTTGGTTGGTTATCCTCATGACCTTCGTCTTCTCTGTGTTCACTTGAAGTCTACCGAAATTCGCTACTTCTTCTGCCGACTTGTTGATTTTCGCCTGTTAGTCTTCGAATTTATCTGACATCAGACACAAGTCGTCCGCCAAATGCAAACTATCTAGTGTTTTCTTATAGGTCTAAGATATTCCTGCTTCCTCGTTCTCCACGCACGGTGTCTCGCATAATCTAGTCCAGCACAGTGATGGGGTACTCGAACACTGGCGGCTTTCCTGCATGAAATTTAAGCCACTTCAGTTTTCCTTATTTATCCGTATAAGAATAGAGAAGTTTTAATCCCAAGAACAACCCCCTGGAATCTGAGCCTCCTGTTTTCATTCCATCGTCGTCTGACTGGAATACAAGGTTTCATGTTCCGATTTTCCGAGAACCGTGTTGTTTTTACACGCCGTCTCTAGCTCAAATCTCCCTCTTTACTGGGACTAATATAGGCCTACAAAATCCTCTTAGATACTTGACATAGAATTCGCAAATGTGTACTTTTATTGAAGTCCTGTGTTTCCTCTCTTCTCTTTGATTCCCCTGCCTGAAATACTCCACAATTTCTGAAAATTTAATCACAGATTGTCCCTTCTTATATTAAACGAAAGGATGGGAGAACTACCTCAGAGTACATTGATTTGATAAGTCACAATATTAGACTGGACTACTGAATACATCTGTTTATTGTAGGTGAGAAATACTCTAGTACTTATGCTTGTGTTCATTTTATCTGTACGTCGGTAGATAAATACTTCACTTTTAATTGACCAGTCTCAGTAAACGTTTTACAGTTTACTCTGTAGCATTTGCTTAAGATTATATTTTTAATGATGCTCACTTCGATCGGATATCATCACCGTCTGATATACGGACAAACTGGTTCGTTTAATAAATCTTTCATTGCATCATGACAACCAACTATAAGTGACTATTTTTATGCTCCTAACATAAAGCTAACTTCGCGGATTCAAGTTCCAGCATTTTTCCAACGAAACATTGTAAAAATTATGTTTATTGGACACATCCTTAGTTGAAATATTTAACTGAATGAATATCTTTCACATTCGTTTGTGAACCTCGGTTTCATAATTAGGAATTTTATACTACCCACCAACTGACGAAGCAGGACAGTACACTGTTATGTTGCGTGTGACGCCACCATCATGCAGGACTATCAAATTGCTTCCTGTTTTATTTTATTACTCAGTATTTCCTAGTTTACTAGCAGGTCCTAGACCGAGAAACACAGAGAAGGTTCGACGTAGGACTTGCAATCAAGGCATAGGGGAAATAAACTCACTTTTCGCTGGAATAGAAAAGTTGCCTCATTTGGAAAAATAATGTCCTTCACGTTCCCCAGTGGAACATAGGGCTTCAAGATAGTGGCTTGAAGTTTCTGTAGCAGTTCTTATTTTACAGGATGGGGTTGCTAGCCTCATGCCCAACCTTTGCTCTTCACCAGCATTATTTCTGGCTTAGCGAGGTAAAGGAGTGCGTCGGCCGGGAATCGAACCCCGGACCATGTGCATGGTCGGCGAGCGTCCTAACCGCTATGCCACCGACGCACTGTTAGTGAATTTTTTACAGAAAATGATATGAACGTAGTTATGTTACCTAAGACACTACAGTAACAGCTACTCTGTTGTAGGATGAATATGCAGTTTCAATTTAACAACATATTTTACCGTTAAATGGAGGACATACCAATGGACTCCCCTGGACCTTCTCGTAGTCGATATGTTTATTGCAAAATTAGAGAATCGTACAGTGAAAAATGCAATCAACAAACTATTGTTCTAACGTAAGTACATGGATGATGCTTTCGTTTTGCAAAGGAATAAAATCAATATCACAGTGCATCTCAAAAACGTTCAGTATGGCTCATCCACAAGCTGAGTTCACATACGAAACAGAAAACGGCAATACTTTATCATTTCTTTATGTTACGCTAGCAAGAATACAAGATCATAGTGTTGAAGGAAGGTATTTTCCGGAAGAAATAGTGAGTTGGCCAATATACCTATTCCGAGTCTTTGGTTCCTCTTGCATACAGACGGAATATCAATAATACCTTGATGTTTTGTGCCAGAAAACTTTATATGTATAACACACACTGAGTGACACAGTATTACTCACTAGATATCTTTACGACCACAATTTATTGCTCATAATGAAATTAGTATAAAGTTTGGCAGCGATTCTACTGGGGATCGATTCCAGACCACATTGCTGACTGGCGAGCATTCTACTATTGGATGACTGATGCACTCAGCTACCTATGTAATCTAACTGGTTGAATGATGACTAGACTCTACGACCTCTAGGGCAAAATTTGTTGCCTATAATGATTTCAGTGTTTTCACATTACTTCTTAACTTCCTTCATATAGCTTTACACTACAGTTTTTCAATTGCAATTTTCCATATATCCTGTTTAGGCGTTAAATCATCTCGACTGCACATGTACGGTGTTGATTCGATGAATAAAGAATCGGTAGTTAATCTCTCTCTCCCTGAACCTAGCTCGATTAGCCTTTGGTTTTTCTCCCTGTTCCACCCTATTATATAACTACATACCATTGAATGTATTGCAGTAGACCAGCTTATCTCGAGATCATGTAACTCAGCGCAACTAACCACTTTACTTCTATCTCATTTCTAAGTTCTAATGTGCTAACTAATCCTGATCTACTAGTCTGATCTATGTAATTGACTTCAAAGTCATTATGTGGTATTTGGTAAATTATATTATTTTGAAACTCGGAATGCTTTCTGCTGGGTAGGTATTAATCCGTATTATGAGTAATAAATTGTGTCTGAAGCGTCATCCAGTCATGATCATTTCAGTGCTTCAGTCTGATGGGCTGGAAGAAAATATGTTGGCTATATAACAGGAGAATTCATAATAAGTCTGTAATCAGGAATGAGATGATTGGAGCGCTTGCTTCGTTTCTGTCGTTGTATATTGTAGGTAAAGTCAATTTCAGTGCCTTCAGTGACCGCATATCCTTCGTTTTCAAGCTGATATGACGGCGGATTACAACTTTCTGTGTTAATGTCGCAAGCCTACTCATAATAAAACACGTCGAATGTATGTTTAAATTTCAGGCGCTTAGATCGATATGGATTTGTGACGAATAGAACTCCACCACAGAGGGATTTATACTTGTGAACGTGTGATATGAAAAATCAATCCCCTTCACATGGAACTTATCATTATCATTATTGCCTTGTTTTACTAGAATGATTCAAGGCTTCAGAGGAACACCCGCATTTCACTATGCTCTCTCCAGACTTTTTCATGCGGCAAAACGATTTTCCATAGGCTTTCACTTCCCACTCACACTAGATCTCCTCCATATTACCCTCGGACGCCACCTCTCACTCTGAGAGTTTGGAATGTGATGCCATTCAGCACTCTACTCAGAGTATGTTGAGTGTATCTCCGTCTCCTTCTCAATTTTTATTTGTTAGGAAATCAGTTATTGATTAGTTCGTTGCTGGAGTTCCTCACCGCCTTTCCTCTTCGGACAGCTATCTGATACTCAGGGTGGAGCAAAGGAGTGGGTTGATGAAATTCTTCAGCCTGTTGAATATATATGTATATATATATGGTGTTACAATAACATAGACGATGTTGTCTCAGGCATGAAATTCCCTCCATTTCTGTACTTCTTTTAATTAGTTGGCGGTGGGACAGCCGGTTCAGTTATCGTGAGAAAGCTTTGGGATGGCTTTCAAAGACATCAATGTCAATCATTTCATCAAGCGGCAAGTTCAGCTCCACCGGCTACAGTATGCATGCGTCAAACACTGTTCAGTAACAATGACAATCAGACGTGTCGGCCATTATGTTTCACCTATCAACCGAAAATTCTGCTTTTGGAGTCTGGACCAAGAATGAGTTGGTTGACAAAGATAATAAGCGATACACCTCTGTTTGCCCCATTGCTTTATGGACGAGGCATAGATACTGTTGACCGGACAACATCGCAGAAGTCTGCAGCTCTACAACTGAAAAATAATGTAATTCCTTCTGAACGTAATTGTTTTTCATTGTATTACATATGAGTATGTATATGAAATCGTAAGAAATGTCGTTATCTAAGTCAGATCTGCAGTAGTGAGAGGATCATTTTTTAATTTGATGAATCTCTGAAGTATAATCTGACCAAAACATACACTTTTCACTATGACCAAGGTAAACTTAGGGAACAAGAGTGTGAAAGAAGTAGCTGGGAAAGCCGTCAAAGTACTTCCTTATTCATATACAGAATACAAGCTTCCACAAGTCAGTGATTTATAATTTCAGGCAATGAATGTTAGTCATGTTTTCAGAGGAATGCACCGAGTGTGTTTACTAATTCACATTGTGCCCTGTGCTATATAGATGCAGGCTGATAGGAAGTAGCGGAAAATTGATATCAACGTTTTAAGTCAACAGCTGCTGCAGACATAGAAGTGTTTATTCCTCAAATCTGGATTTAGTTCACATTGTAGTCTGGAAATAATCTCACTGGAAGACTTTCTGTCCGCTTGTTTTGCTTTTGGTCAACCGCAAACCGGTCATATCAGTTAACTGCGCGTTGACATAGATGACGTTTAATGTGGCTAAAAGTGTATAAGCATGATGTGTTTTTCTTATCTTCTGCCGTTACATTTGGTGTCGTCACCTTCGGATAATGAAGATCTTGTGGCCTGCTACTTTTGAAGAAGGACACATACAGAGCTTCATACGGGACTTTGGTGCTATCGCTGAGTTGGTAAGTGTCCAGGATCCAATGATGAAGACAGTTGTGCTAAGGGCGCTGCTAAGAGTTCGGGCACAGGTGGCGTATGACCGTGTGTGGCGGTCAGGGGATAAAGAAACCTGGAAGGTATTCATTGGATGATTAGCGGAGGAGATCTACAGCTTGGCGGACAGACGGTAGGCAATGCAGCAGCCTCACGCCATGAACTGTAACTGGACCGAGATCAGATCGTACTGGTGATGAAGCTGCCAAATCTAATTCGCCAGGCGCCTCCCGCACTTGATGCAAAGTCTGCGACGCGACTGTTGGAGTCGCAGTTTATCTAAAGTGTCCCAGGACACGCTGTTCAGCACTTACAACTTGTCATCGGTGCACAGTCTGTGGACATCGGCGAGTTCACGAAGGTGGCGAGACAAATACAGAGTATAATGGTAGCCACAAGTGAGACACTGATCTCGAACCAGTAGGAACAGAAAATTGAGAATTCGCAGTGCAAAGTAAAGGCGCTATGAATGAATGCCAAGAAGGACAATTGCTTTGAATGCATGGTAAACCAGGACATTATAGACTATACTGCCCAGAAAGATGCAGAAGAAAACAGTTTGGACATTATAATGTGTCTTCTTCTTTGATAAGCCCAGAAGTAGAGGAGGCAGGAGGTGCATCATTTATATTCAGACAACTAATGACAACGTTACTTAAAAACACATCTTATTTATAGATTTTTAACCACATTAAACGTCGGCTATGTCAGCGCGCAATTAACTGTTCTCACCGGTTTGCGACGACTGAGAGAAAAGTCGTTCATTGAGATTACTTCCAGACTACAATGTAAACTAAATCTAGATCTGAGGAATAAACACTTCTATGTTTGCAACAACTGTCGACTTAAAATGTTGATTTCAATTTTCGGCTACTTCTTGTCAGTCTGTATCTATATTTCACATGCCACAAGACAGTTTTGACTCTGTTTCTTGTCATTCAAGAAGCGAATAGCTGGAAGTTAGCTGTTTTGATTTGACACTAGTAACTAGTGTGATGCGTCTAGTCCTCTCTTTGGTGCAGACTGAATTCTATCAGTCAGGTTGTAATGTGGCCACCATTCTAGGTAGCTCACCATCACGGTGCACATTGATTTGATGATATTAGATAGTTGGAGGCAATCGGCAGGAAGCCTTGGACCTAGGTTTCGTGCTAGTTGGCACTCACCAGTTAGCAAGGCGTATCTGCAACCTTGAAGGAACTCATGTCCCTTCTGAGATTCGAACCCGCGTCACCCAATGCTGCAGTCAGAGACGTTACCACTGAGCTGACGAGTGCCAACTAGCACGAAACTTTGGTCCAAGGCTTCCTGCCGATTGCCTCCAACCACCTAATATCATCGGAAGTTAGCTGTATTATAGATAAGATTTTATTTTGATAAATCACACAGTGTTATATGGTAATGTTAACTAATGACCACGTTTCGAGCACAAACTATTGCTCATAATCATATCAAATCACTCACACAACTTGTGACTTGATATGATAATGAGCAGTAATTATTTGTGCTCGAAACGTAGTCATAAGTTAATATTACTGTATTACACTACACTGTGTGATTTATCAAAATAAAATCTTATCTATAATGGAGTTATACTCTACCTTAGTGCCCAAGTTTTATACTTATATCAGTAATACAGCTGGAAGTTAGGCTTTTACAAGAACAGATGATGGACACTGGAGGACACTGGACATTTTCTTATTTAGTAACATGGTCACTAGATGCAAAAGGACCATTAAAAAAGGGGTTACACCTTCATTTTCTGAATGCGGCCTCATGATCAACATTTCTCTGTCGATCATTCCTTGTGAATAATATTAACAAAGGGATATAAATCGAAAGTTACCGCAAGTGCTGATGAAAGGTGATAAATTTTTAAAATCATGCCACGTCCTTGTGGAAAACAGTAGTAAATTAGAAGATTACCTTGATAGTCTCTTTCATAAGGAAATATAAAAGGCGAAAGCCTAGGTATTTTAGAGTCGATTTCGTTAGAAAACCCACGTCTTTTGGAGAAGCCATAGAAAACATGATGCATTGGAGAGCTATAAACTCAAATTCTGACTATCAAACTATTGTCCAAGATAAGATATCTGGGATTCAAATGTGGGGTTGCGTTCTGAACAGAGCATACGGTTTCAAGCATAAGCCTTGAAGTTTCAGCAGCAGTTGTGCTTTTTTACACGTTGAGGTTGATAGCCCCACACCCAAACTTTCCTCTTTACTGGGTTCGCTGGCGGTTGAGAGAGGTTCAAAAGTGCATCGGCTGACGATCAACCCCTGTGTCCCATACATGGTAGGCCAGCATTCTAATACTACCCTACCGAAGTGTAATCCATTTAATCTGCTGTTCTATTCAGACACTCACAGATAACATAAGTTTGTGGTACAATGCCAATCGACAGAATTTAAAGTTCATAAGTGACTATTGGATTCCGACTCAGAAGTCTCTCCTGATAACCTGAAAGCCCTACGTTTTGCTGCTTGTGAGGTAGCCAGTGGGCACTACTGAAAAGTCGGCAGTTGGGAAGAGACAGAGGTCTAGGACTCCATGGTTTGCACATATTTTTCCAGGTGACGTCGGTTTGTGACAAAGCCCACCTCAAAATCAACTAGATTCCAAATAAAACCCAACTTCTAAAAACTATCTTGATTTCTGTGGACACCATTAAAGTAACTTGATTCCGATGCACACTTCAGTATTCTACCTATTAAATGGACGATCAATCTATAAAATCAATTCGTTTTACCAATTACTTATGGAAGTAAGTTTTCATCAGTTAGTACGCGGAAAAGTCTTATACTGTTTGCTTCCTGTAGCCAGTGTTATTCAAGATGCTCCTCTTCGTCCTTTTCCTCATCTTCGCAAGAATCAATTTGCAGGGATTTTATTTGTTTCGAGTTTGACTGCGGATCGATATCAGTTAGAGAACCATTGAAAACCACCAGGGAGTATTAGACAGTTGTTCCCATCGTTGTAGTTCGTGACTCTTCAACAGTATGCACCCAATGGGGTTCGGAACTTTCTGGCTTCACAGTAAGCTGGTAAACCATTCAGACATCAAGACTCGATTCAACTGCCCATGAATTCTAACTTCTACCGTTTCGTGACTTTCGCTTGACCTCTCAAGTTTTCACTGCTTCTCTAACCGATATCAATCCATGGTCAAACTTGAAAAAACCAAACCGCCACAAACTGACTCTTCAAAATTAATCTTAATGCTCACTGATGATTGGCTGTAGGAAGAAGTTGCCTTAGGGAAATTCTAGTGAGAATTCTTGACCAGCGAGGTTCACAAATACTTGCCGATGAAATCAGTGACTGGTGGTCACGCCAATAACACGAACTGGTAGGAGTTAGAATTCATGGTCCAATGAATCGGTTCCCCGTAACTGGATGGTTTACGAGCTTGTCTCTTTTTTCTTATGGGACTTGTGGCATTCTGATGGAACCAAATTTGTTGTTAAGCCTGTCGATAATCTGACTATCTTCTTTGCTTGCTACTTCCCATTCAGACTGTTCCAAAGTGGATAGCTTTTCATCATAAATTAACTGGTGATCCTTTTCAAATGGTCTTAGGTGGAATGCTTCTAAACATCACTCTCAGGCATACACTACATTCACATGAATTGTTCGGTTCCCATGATTCGCGTAACATAGAGAGGTTACGGAAGTAGCAATTAAGTCTAGTGTTAAATACCTTGGATTAGGTTTTTCTCTTGACCTTTTTTGATCGTCAAACATCCTGTTTATTTCAAAAAGGATACTTCATCCAACCTTCAACGTAGGGAAGTTTTGGACTGCCTGGTACTACTCAGCGTCTACATTATAGTTTGCTAACTCCTGTATTCTACTACAAATCTTCACCCTCGCTTTGTGTAAATGTAAAGAGGAAATTATGTGTACTGTATCAGAAGTACTGTTTGAAATAGGACCATTATTATTATTAATATTATTAATGATTATTTTTTCTTATTCACTTAATAGGTGATTTTCTTACCTCGTGGACGTGTTTTGGGGGGAACTGCAGTACTTAATGCAATGATATTTTCCTGCGGTCATCCAGATGACGAATTGGTTAAAGAATTTCTGAAAAATGATCCGGAATTCTTTTCAACACTATTCGACGGTAAAAGTGAAGGTTTGTCACTTACTTATGTACAATTCCTAATGAATTACTATTATTCTCTGTAGGTTCTGAGTGGAACATGGTACTTCAATAGAACATCTCCATTTCCTGCTGTTCTCTGAAGTCCTATTCATCCGGCTTCACGAATTCCCACAGTCTCTCATCTCCCCTTCAGACTGTCTGCTACACAACACTCTCGAATTCACACCCAACTCGTGATTTCACATTTGGGTACCACTCGATGACATGCAGTGCAGTGCCACCTGACGGTCTTCTCGCCATGCGTCCTATCCATTTCCACTCTCCGGGTGTGCTTTTTTGAGCAGTAGGTTCTCCATTGTCTCCTTATCGGAGATTTTGTTGCTTAATCTTCCTAATGGCCGTCTCACCTTCAATATAGACCGAAGGCCATAGAACTAGTTAGTTCCCATGATGCCTGTAGCATAGATGGCACTGAAATTGAAACCAAGTCAAGCATTGAATACCTTGGATTAGTTCTTTCCTCTGACCTTTTATGGTCATCCTACATCTTATCAATCTCTAAGAAAATGTTTCGTCTTACCTTCTACATTAAAAAGTTAAGACAATCAGGTATCAAACAGCCTTTACTTCTGCAGTTTGTAAACTCCTGTATTTTACCTATTGTACTCTATTGCTCTCCATTAATCTTTCCTGGGCTTCTCAAAAAAAACTATATCATATTACTATATCATATTAAATGCTGTGAGTAGGGCTTGTGGTATGCCCACTGCGTGTGCTCGCCAATATTATAGTCGGGAGACATATAAAATCTTGTAAAAAATGGGCAAAGGCCGTACTGTCAGACCCCTTGCAGCACCCCCCCTTTATTCACAACTATCCCCTTGCATCTCATCAGGTAGGACGAGAAGTCAATATAAGAAGTTATAAGCTCGCACCACCACTAAGTACAAAAATCTTCAATACCCTATTTAGCCCGTATTTTATGTGATGGAGACACTGTTAGACATGAAACATATAAGTTACTATGTAATTAGCAAAGTGAGTCGACCCTTTCATCGTTCATCTTTCTGTAATTTTATGGTATCACCCTTTCTATCGTTTAATTATAACTTAGCTATTTTGTTTTTAGTTGTTATTACTACTATTACTACAATTTTATACTTTATGCATATTTTTCTCCTTATAGCATACTGTAATTGCTACATAGCTGCCATAACAACGTTTTGTTGTCGTTTTGAGTAAATTAGATGCAATACTGTACTGATTGCCGAAAATTCCTTGCTGTATCATTAGTACTGTTTTTTGAATAAAGCAAAAATTATTATTATTAGTCAATCTAAGAATGCAAATTAATCTTCACTGTCAAGTGTCGGTTCTCAGGAATTTCATAGATTTCAAGTTCGATCACTGACCGACATTAGTTAGGGAAACATTGAAAATCAACCAGTACTGGACAGTTGTTCCCGTTGTCCTAAGTTGACACTCTGTAGCAGCAAAACCTCCACCACCCCACAGAAGATCTAACCCTCAACCCTCTGGTTAAGAGGTGGGCTCGCTGACCATTCAGTTACCTGGATGGAATCTAGTTGGGATAAATACTCTTCAGTGACACTGTCTGGTGGCAGTGATGCCATCTGTCGCAAGGTGACAAAAGTTAGATTTCGTGGGCCATTAGACTCCTTTCCAGTGTCTAGACAGTCAATGGGCTTACTTTGTAGCCTGCAGGTCCCGGTTTCGACCCTCGGTTAGATGAATGGTGAGTACCGTTCAAGAGTCCTTAACTAGGACAACAGGAACAGCAGTACAGTACTGCTTGGTTTAAAATGGTTCTCCAACCGATGTCGTTTAGTGATGTAACTAGGAACCAAGTTGTTTTTCTGTTAACTAAATTTCCTTCTATCCTAAAGTAAACTTACTCAGCACTTCGGATGATAAACTTCAGGCTTACACAACACACCGTGTAGACTGTGCAGTTAGAGATGATTAAGAAACGGGGTAGATTTGACTTCCAATTTCAAAAACGCTCTGCAGACATTTTCTCAGACAAATAAAACAGAATCATTAAAAACTGTTCGTCGATTACCTGCTTCAGTTCTTTTCAACAGTTTCATGTAAACAGTTTCAGACAAATTTTACAAGATAAAATATGAATGATGGGGACCAACAGAGTATTTTAACTCATTGCAACTCACAAACAGTCGCCTGTTTTCTCTTGAAAAAGTTGGATGCTCCAGAGGTCATCAACATTTGACAGAACTTAGCAAGTGATTCACAACATAAAACTCAGAGAAGCCCTTGAAATGAAGACAACAAAATGAAAAAAAACAAACAAAAAACTTACTTCTAATATCGAAGATATTTCTGATTGCAGTGGACTAGATTATGCGGGACAACATTCGCGGGAGAGGGCAAGAATACAGGAATACTTTGGACCGATAAAAACACTCGAGAAAATACGAAGTTCGCTGACGATTTAGGTCTAATAACTCTACTCATAAACTTGAAGACTTACAGGCGGAAACCAACAGGCTGGCAAAAAAGACACACACCGAATACAGGATGTCAAGTGAACAACATAGGGAAGACGTAAGTGATGAGGATAACCAGTTGACTAATCACAACAACGAGTACTAATCACTATCGGTGGGAGAAATTTGAAAGAGGTCGCTTCCTTCACTTATCCAGACAGCATGGTTTCAACTACAGGCGGCTTCACGGATGAGGATGTCAAAACTAGTATCGGAAAGGCAAGACAAACATTCATCTCTCTGCTCCAACCCGGAATTTCAACACCAGTGTTAAGTCCTTTAGTGCCTCTGTGTGATTCAGAAGCTTGGTGTGTGTGTGTGTCACAAGAAGCACTTCCAACACGCCACCGCAGACTTTTATCAACAGCTAGTCCCATATTGAAGATCAGATGACCGGCAGAAAGAATTAGGAAAAAACTCCGTGAACGAACCAATCGACAACAGATTGCTCAACAAATATTTTGAAGGGAATGGAGATGAATCGCTCACCTGCTGAGGAGACCACTGAGTGACATCATGGCCCAGGCCCTTGAGTGGAAAGTGAATAGGAAACGACGAGTTGGCATCTGTCGAAGGGTGACATGGAGGAATTCGTGTGAAGAGGAGTGCGAAAAACAGAGTGAAATGAAGGTGTGTTATGGTAGTCCTATATTCCCTTCGGAACCCAAGATAATAATAATAAGCATTCTGACTATTCAGCATTCATTTGAATACTTTCTCTTATCAAAAAGGTTCCACTTCAATGAACTTTACATATTTATGTATTTATTATACACAATTTTCATATTCTATTCAGTGACATTATATATTCCCTCTTTCTTCTGTTTTTTTTCTTTCAATTTTCTAAGGATGTCATTTGAAACCAGAAGTAATTAATCACCAGCCATACAATCGACTGATTCATGAATATTTCAAGAAGGCCTTCAGTTTGAGAGGATCAAAGGTGGATTCTTTTGGTGCAGTGTGTCAGTCGCACGAAGGACTTCATATTCCAATGGGTATGTTATGAAACTCATTATAATTTAATGTTTGATTTTCATAACGATTAGTCTTGAGAAAACTTTGCATCTTCCTCAGCTACAGGATACCATTCTCTACAAGTATTATATTATAAACTATAGAGATTGTTGTTGCACTTGAGAAAGTACCTGGATATCAATCAACCTGTATTAAATTTACAGTGGATTCCGAGATGGGTCATGTTGTACCTGAATATCAGTCATTTGATATTCAGTATGCATCCAGAGAAGGCAGCTGTTGATGAAAGTCTACAGCCTGTTGGGAATCCTTTTCTCGACAAGCTGGTGAAGTTTCTGACCCGTATAAAAGAACTGACTGACTGCACGTGTGTGTTGAAAATCTGAATCTTGTTCCTTACGCTGAGTGAGAGCAGAAGAGTTCCAAACTGGTTTCAGGTTGATGAAGGCGCATCTTACCTTTCCGATTCTCTGACTTTGACATCTTCGTCCGTTTCGACTTCCTGTAGTTGAAATGGTGCTTCCTAGTCGGATAAGTGAAGGAAGCAACCTCTGTTGAATCTCTCCCACTGATGGTGAAATAATGTGCTTCATCGGTAAGGATGAGATTTATTCCGCTAGCTAAATGTACTACTGTTGGTAACTACAATAAATTTGGTCCATTTATTTCTTGAATAAAGCAAAGACGACAGTCTTTGTAGAATAACATGACACCATCATTTATCAAAGCGACTAATTGTTTTAATTTTCTCAAAGATATTTTATTTTTTTATTTTTCTAAGCCGTTATCTTAACCTTTCTGATATTCATGTATCTCTGTGAAAATAAAAATCCTAGCTAGAAGTTAAATTGTAACAACAGAAGACAAGGGCCAGGCAACAGATCCTTTATTAAGGAAAATCAACACATATTTATACATTTTAATGTACATTATTGTAGATTATTGTTAGTAGAAAATACAGTCTTTTGACTGGTTGTTTCTCACAGAAAGTTAACCTTGCATTTCTCTGTGGCTGTGTCAGATCATCTATATGCTAACTGTATCTGCCTACGCAAAGCCTTTGTTCTCATTTCGTCACCACCGATATTGGGGACATAAACATTGACGTCAATTATTGTCTACCAACTTCGGCTAGTAGCCAGCTCTCACCACAAAATGACAGGCAGACTTTGAAGTATACGTTTCTCAGATGACATCTGATTTAAACCGTAATATTTGTTGATCAGTCTAGATTATACGTAAACTACCAGTTTTAAAACACTCATAAAAGAGTGTTACACACATTGATTGTACTATGTGCAAAATACCACGAATAAAAATACTGAAATACATTCACACACGATTGTACCGGAATAAACACACACACACACACACACACGATAGTAACCATAATTCATATAGTTACTAGAATAGTCTGACCTAACCTAAACCATTAATCAATCGTTGGTGCTTCACGTAATGCAGTATGTTTGTCAGTGACACACAATTTTCGGATTATTTCAAATTTTAAATTATTTACCATTTTAATTTTTTACTGTTTTTAGGTTTCGTTCGTAATGCTCAACGTATCAGCTCATTCAGTGAGTGCCTACTACCGCTGATGAATGAAAAACCCAAAGATTTAACAGTTATCACAGGCATACAAGTTGAAAAAGTAAAACATGTTTGCTGGAATATATTTACACTTATTTTGTGTGTGTGCGTGCGTGCGTGATTCCTTTGCCTTCCATATAGAACATAGGGTGACTTCAAGGTTTTTGCTTTGAAGTTTCAGTTGTAGCCAGTATTTTCCAAGCGTGTGGAGATCCTAGATTCACGCTCAGTCTTTCCATTTTACCGGGTCTACTACAGGGTTGAGAGATGTCACCAAGAGTGTGTCGGCCTAGTCGGATCGAATCCAGATGACTGGCTAGGCTGGCGAGTATCCTACCATTGGACCACCGACACACATATCTACAGTTAGCAAGGTAGAAAGCAAAAGTCACTGAAGTATTGCTGAGACTGTATAAAATAGCCAAGTGTATTAAACCGTACCTGTGGGTATGTGTGTGTATTTGTGACTCTATTGGTGCTGGTGATCCGAGTGAAGTAATAAAATATTTACTCTCTTCGACACCTCAGCTTAGGATCATGTGCGAACACTCTATTGGGGAGGAGATCATTTACTTTCCTACTGATTTCGGCTGGGGATTAGTTTCACCTCGAAAAGCCTAGTCATATCACTGATAACAATATTTCCGAAGTGAGAGAATTAAAGACCTCTGATTTCAACCGCTGTTTTGATAGTCTTGAAACAAAGACCAAACAAAATCAACTAATCATCGTGTGGCAACTTTTCAAAAAGAAATACGTTGATCAAAATAAATGTAGGAATATTAAACTGATGGGGTCACACATCACAAAATTATTTTGGCGTTTTAAAATACACACACCAGCAGCGGCCCCCTAAGGCCTATACTTTCAATGATAAATTCACCGTACCACAAATCAGCCCAGTGGTTATGTGAGTTATTGCAAACTTTGCGAAAACGCCTTGTAATGTATGTTGTTTAGGATTTATTCCAGTTTGTCAAGCAAATTTTTGATCCCAATGTAACTGGTAAGCACCTCGTCTCTTTTGAAGTTACTTTCTTACTCACAAATGTTCCAGTCATTGAGACTATTGACTTTGAATGCACAGGCGCTAACAGCATACTTATCCCATACATCGGGATTGAGGAAACTGTTGCTTTTATGTACTAAAAATGGGCGTCTATACCGCTAGGCATACTTTGATGATATTTATATTGTCTGTGGAAACAAATGAAAAGCTGAAGACATGTTGACAAAATCAAACTCATACCATCCGAATCTCAACTTGACAATAGAACACGAGGAAAATGATACCATTCAATTCCTGGATGTTTTTCTAATGAAAATGACTGATGGTACAACGGAAAGATCCCTATTTAGAAAGTCTTCATGGACAAGACAGTACATTTCAAAAGTTTTGTTCCAATTCAGTATAAATTGAACTTAGCCAGAACACTGTTCAATAGAGCATGGAAAATTTGATCTGACGGTACAAATGAACATGAAATAAAGGCTCCGGAGGATATTTTATCTAGGAATAGAGATATCCTGAGAAGTTCATCAATAACTTCTCTAAAGAAATGAACCCCAGTAAAATTATAAAGACAGTTCCAAAGAAATCTGTCCATATTAATTCACCAATCAAAGGAGAGGATGTTCCAGAGGCACTGCTGAAAGCGTTTGTTCCCTTGAGACATAGGCTTTTTAGTACATGTTCAGAAAATCGGAGGTATGCACTCCATCAAGCTCCTGAAACCCGACTTATGTATTCAGAAGGAATCAGTTATCAGTCATCAGTTAGCATGGTAGCTAGTTGTTTTCATCCTCTCTTTCATTCGCTTACGTAACGCCTAAAATCCTATTCTGTATGGTTATTACTGTTTACAACAGAGTGGTTATTATTATTATTGTCCTTACCATTGTATGCGCACATTGATTTTTTGTTTGAAAATGAACTCTCTGTGTAAGTATGTCATAATTGTTTCTATACACAAACTTAATAATGTTTTTAGGCTGTAAGCAGCTGATGAGGAGCCAACGAAATAGATGATGGTACCATTTTATTCTGCACAAACTTTTGTTCTTCCTTTATTCAAATTGGTTATGTATAAAAACTGTAGTTTAGGCCAAATTTACCGGATGAACACACAGATAAATTATAAATAGACAATAAGAGGTCATTTATTGGTATAATTATAAAACTTGGGCACTGTGATGGTAAAGTATAACTCCATTATGGATTAGATTTTATTTTGATAAATCACACAGTGTTCTTATACAGTAATATTATCTGATGACCACGTTTCGAGCAAAAACTATTGCCACTCATAATCATATCAAGTCACAAGTTGTGTGAGTGACTTGATGTGATAATGAGCAATAGTTTGTGCTCGAAATGTGGTCATCACTTAATATAATTGTATAACACTGTGTGATTTATCAAAATAAAATCTTATCTATAAAGAGGTCATTTAGTTTCATATCCGGAGTGAGATACACTCAGTGACTATCAGTCGAGCCTCGTCTGTTAGTTGACAATGTTCCTGATCAGTGTAAATCTTCTCAGAAGCCAAGTTTTACTTTTCACCTGTTACCTGAGTTAATAATTCCCTTCTGTTAGTGTTACTGAGTAGACAGAATAATTGTGGTAGTTAAAAATGTGGTTCTCATTTGACATTTTTTTTCTCATTAAACGCTGTTTCCATAGTTACTGTTCAGTCGAAGTGACCACGGGAATTTATCAGCCTATGGAGTTGTAGCCAAATACAAAGGTCACTCTTTTACAATCAAATTAAAGAACACCATCCTGGGGAAGCAAATGAGGTGGAATCCTGAAATTATACTTAGTGCTGGTGCCATAAAAACTCCAGAAATTCTGTTAAGTTCTGGTGTAGGTCCAGTCGAAGACTACAGTAATGATAAGGTGAGTTTGAAAAGTCATTTTATATTAACGAGTAATACTGTTTTGGCTGAACATGAGTATCAATTGGTTGGATACCTGTTACCTTAATCGTCTTCCCACTCCTTCTGCTCCGAGTGAAACATACGATTTCTAGCCTGGAAGTTTAAATAGAGGGGTCTTTTTCACCAGATAGGCTAGGTTTGCAGGAGGACGTCAACCTGGAATAAAAATAATCAAGAACCTGTCGGCCGACAAATAAATATTTAGGAAGAAAAGTAGGTCTACGCTCCAGGTCCTCGAGATGAATCCGAAATGGGAAGCGGTGGTCTGACCACGAGAATCCGAAGTTTTCATGTCGGAGATTTTGTTAGGATGAAATGAGAGCTTATAGGTAACCAAGGAGCCAGATATAAATGACTGTGAAGAATTTAATGACATGATGGTGGGCTGCTGAAACTACATGTTCCAATTGAAACCTAAGGGAACAACAGTAATAATAATAAACCTTAAGGTTTTCAACACGATAAAGTGAAGCTTCGATAAAATGGCAGGTTGGAATTCAATTGCCTCACATTTCATCAATGTGAATTTCTCCTCGAAAATTGATTGTATTCACTCAAGTCTTTGTAAGACATAAATTCTGTTTAACCAAGCTCCGTGGCTTCTTCGTTACCTCTGACCTTCATTACTACACAGTATATACAACCCTGAAACTCCTGTGAAGCTGAATAATGTAAGAGCAGTGTTCGGATATCTCGTTTTCTTCATCTTAGTCGTAATCTATAACTGCGCGGTTTATCCTTTGTGGGCAAAAACTTAAGAGAAACAAATTGAGTTGCTATAAGATTATTTTTAAGTTCAGCAAACTCTAAGATTCACTGGCAAAAAGCAGGCAGAAAAGACAGAACTTCAAGTAAACATAGAGAAGACGGGAGGGCGACGGAAACAACCAACCAAAGACAACAAGCACCAGTCACTACCAACGGAAGAAATCTGAAAGATGTCAAACTCAGGATCGGCAAGGCAAGACGCACCCCCAACCACCCTGAAATCAGTTTGCAAATCCGCTGCATTCAGTATAAACAGCAAGATTCGGATATTCAAAACACAAATGTGAAGTCAGTTAATGCTTCTGTATGGATCAGAAACTTGGTGCGTGCATCATTAAAATAAATTCCAGCAGGCAACCTCAGACTTTTATTAACCACAGGCTTTTCTGGTTCCATAATGAAGATTAAATCCCCAGATACAATAAGCAACAAGGAGCTCAGGGGATGAACCATTCAAGAATCTATCTCTCAACAATTAGTACGAAGAAAATGCTGGTGGATCAGACGTACTCCTAGGAGAACATTGGGTGAATTTGCGCGAGTGTAATGCAAATGGGAAACGAAGAGTTGAGAGTGGATCCAACCGTGATATGGGGAAGACAGTGTGAGAGATAGGTGAAGACCTACGGGCAATAAAGTGAAGATATGCTGTTGAAGCCCTATATTCAACCAGGAACTTAAAGGAGTAATAATGATACTTATCACTTTAATTGTATCGTTTTGAATGATATTGTTAGAATGCCCGCCAAACAAGCAGGTTGTCCGGTTTCCACTCTAAGCCGGTGAACTCTCGAAGACCTCGCCAGTTAAACTTGCCTGTAGTAAACCTGGTAGAGAGAACGGGATAGGTGTGAGGCTAGCAACTACTGCGCACCTCTTGAAAACAACAAAAACCCCGTCGTCACAATGAAACTTAACACCCTGAAGATGCCATACGTTCTCCTCAGAACGCAGGGAATAAAAAAACTAAGAAGAATAACAGTCCCATTAGTTTAGTTAATTTGTTTAAATATTCGGGGACGAGCTGTATGCACAAATCTTTAACCACTGTCAATACAATAGCAAAGTTGCTTTTTATAAGTAAGAGTGATATACTTTATAACCAAATGTGGTTTCTGCTCGTACCACACGGACTGTTAGTGTTGTCATAAACGTTTTCAGACTATGTGGTTGTAGATCTTCTAGTCATTTCAATATCCTACAGTTTTTTCTTAGTCTGGATGTGATCACCTTCCACAGGAAGCTCAGGAATATAAAGGTTTGACGGACATTAATCAATCCACAGATCCAAAGTGTTTACATTGCATTTAATTATTGTTACTATAACCAAAAAGGCTCAGATCTGTGTTATTTGAGACTGTTATTTCCTCCAGAAGACCTAAAGACAAACCGTATTTTACCAAATGCTGTTGTCTGTTTATAGCTTCGGTCATGAGCTGACATCAACTACAGAAGCACTGGAAAACCTGGGATCACCAGACATCTGGTTCTTTAGTTTTATTTTGGAACTTTCCATCAGTACGCCCCACCCATCAGAGTTTGGACGCAGGGCCTTCCGATTAAAAGACGAAATCAACTCATGATCGAAATGGTGACTAATTAGATGCCTGCAAAATAACACTTGAAGATTAATAATATTAGAATATAATATATAAGCGAACAACATTGTTTTCAATTAGATATTCTTCAGACTTTACTTTAATTTACATAGATTTATATATAACAATTTTAACCAATGACGGTGATTTTGTGGATCAAAATTATAATGATAATAATAATGTAGTAAATGTTTTGAACTTCATTAATAACAATTATTATAATGACAATAAGGTTTATTCAGGTGGCGATAAGAATAACGAGGGTAGTAATATGTGTATATGTAGACAATTCAATGAATAAATCAGGTAACGTCTTAAAAGCTACGTAGTACTTAAGGTGGGTGAAGTGGACAGATAATCAGAGTTTAAATAAATATCATAAAAGTATGAAGGAGATGGAAAATAAGAAAGGGTGAGAGGGTTTTGATTAGAATTCACCTAGGCCAAGGGAGAGACAAGGGTAGAACAAAGTTCTTTTGTATGCAAAGACTAGGATTGTTCTCTCGAATTCCCATAACTTCGGCTCTGTGTAAAAGGCTGACTCGAATTCCTTTCGAAAGACTCGATGAAATGCGATAGATAACTTTGAAGGCACTATTTTTGTCCACTTGGTGACCGCCATCAATCAAATGAGCCAAAATCACCGTCACTGGTTAAACTTTTTTATATATAAATCTATGTAAATTAGGGTAAAGCCTGAAGAAGATCTAATCTAATTCGTTGATATGACATGAAGATTAATCTGACGCTTACCAACAACTGGCTCTATACTGAAAGTTGCCTGGAGTTCTAGTGAGAGGTTACAGCCGGCGGGGTCCACCAAATCAGGTAAGAGGACACTTACTCACCTGGGATATTGGCTGACAGTTGCACTATCTATATCGTGTTTTCCAGAAGTCAAAACTCATGGACCAGTGGCTAAATGACTTAAGGGATCACCTTGTCATCGGAAGGTCCTAGGACAGAACTCAAGTGGCTGCGTACTGCTATACAGTCCCGAACTAGGATAACAGAGACAGCGGTCCAGTTCTCCGCGGTTTTCCAATGACTCCCCAACTGATGTCAACTCGTTATAAAACCATCAATTATAATTTGCTTACGTGACACCGCTTATGACCGTCATATGTTACTGACTTATTTTCTTTGTCTTTTACAGAGGCCTAATCTTCTGAATTTATCCGTTGGTAAAAATCTTCATGATCATCCAATGATTGGTCTGATATGCTCTGTTGTAAATGGGAAAACATTGACAATGGACAGCTTCACTGTAGCAGAAATATTTAAATATTATTGGAGAGGAGAAGGTATGCATGTAATGTATATTAATCGGGATTTTTGAGGCTCAACCAATTAAGTGAAACAAGTTTTTAAATTCAGAAATGATCCGAGAGTTATTCATTGATGTTCACAGTCTTCCACTGTTCATCTAGGTGAATCGAATGACTGAAAAGTTCAAAAGATATTATTGGATAGACTCGTAGTGGTAACTAATTCCTCAAAGTTACTAGCCTACAACTTTCATTATTCAACTTGTCAAGCTGAAGGTATACGGTCAGGCATCCACACCATGATATCATATTACTTCCTGTAGTTCCTACACTCACTCCAGTTAGCTAAGCACATTTCAGTTGTCCTGCATTTCTGATCCTGAAATATAGTTTGAATTCTCGACGACTATCCTATTGTTCGAATTGGTTCCCTACAAGCCTATGGATCTATAGAATAAATGCATTCAAGTCTGGGGAGTGTATAGTTACGTTATTGTATAAGCACATATGTCCGATTTCCCACAAACTGGAAGATATGCAAGCGAAAAGCAACAAGTTGGCAGAAGAAGCATCCAGAGAAGATAGGACTTCAGTTGAACATAGACAAAACAGAGGTAATGAAGATTCCTGGACAAGAACAACAACAACAGACAACAATCAGCATAAATGGGAGGAACATGAAAGAAACAACCTCCTTCACCTACCTACCTGGGAAGCATCGTTTCAACTACAGGCGACGGAACTGACGAGAATATCTGAGCAAGAATCGGAAAAATCAGGACAAGCTTTCACTACTCTCAAGTCTGTGTGGAGGTCAACACCACTCAGCATCAAAAATAAGATCCGGATTTTCAACTCCAATGTGAAGTCAGTCAGTGCTACTATACGGATCAGAGACTTGCACTGCGCGTCATGAAGAGCACCTCAAACAAACTACAGACTTTCATCAACAGCTGTCTTCGTTCAATACTACTCAAGATCAGATGGCCGGCCAGAAACGATCACGAACAGAGATCTCTGGGAGCGAACCAACCAGGAACCGATTGTGAAACAAATAGGCAGGAAGAAATGGAGGTGGATTGGATTGGCCATACTCTGAGGAAACCATCAAGTGACATCACTAGACAAGCCATTGCTCGAGTGGAACCCGAAAGGGAAGCGGTGAGTTGGTCGTCAGTGTGAAAGTGACTTGGAGGAGGTGATGTGAAGAGGAGATGAAAACGTGTGGGCAGACTTGGAACAAGGTGAAAACGTTGGCAGAGAACCGAACGCAATGGAGACGCACATCTGAAACCCTATGTTCCTCTAGGAATTAAAGGAAACAATAATATTTTGTCCTCAACAACAGGCTTCATCTCCTAAAGACTATGGGCATCGCAGTCTTTAGATTCATTTCGACAATTTTTCAAACTAGATTTCATCAGAAACTGACATCATTTTGGGATTCGTCAGCAGAAAGCTTCACTCGCCCCCCCTCCAGAAAATTTAATCCAGGAGCTTTATATTACGAGGCCAGTCAGTTGACCTGTCAGCTTCTCGAACGTAATCCACTGACGCATGAATTTCCACTTCTGCCAGTTGCCTCCAGGTAACCTGAAAGTTTCAGGTATGATCCCTGAAGCGGTCGTTAAAACAAACTGCTGGTAAGGAGTCTTAAACTAAAACGACACAGCTGTCCACAACTTCCTGATTTTCAATACTTCTCTAAATAGTGTCAGTTTGTCACTTGACTTGAAACTGGTCAATGCCCTGCCAACCGGCACTTCAAATTAAGACCAACCTTGTTAAATGCAGTAAACCGGATGATGGTGGTATACTGCTTATATGCAAAGCATAGATGAATTCTCATGAAACTGACAGAAAAATGTTTCCAAAATACAATGCAATTCAGTAAGTACAACCAATCAACAAATTTATGAATACAAAAAAAAATAAATACTATGCATGAACATGTCAGAATACATACATACTGCAGGTTACGCCCCAATCGGTCACAGACACACACACACACAAACACACAAACGCGAATACACTCACACGCCCTTCGAAATGTGTACATCGGTTCAGCCTATAAACCACCTTACCAATCGATAGATTGTACTGGTAGACTTTTCTAGATAATTCATAAAGGATTACTAGCATAGACAATTCTCCTTCTTCATTCTTCTAACTAAAATCAACCTGATGTGAACACTTTAATTGAATTTTAGATTTTCCCGTCGATTGATTGGACCGAAGTGCTCGGTCTCAGGTTGACATGTCGGCTTCTTGTGCAGATGCTTCGATGATGCCCTGGCATGTAATTAGAAGTTAACTGGTGGATGTCAACCTGAGACCGAGCACTTCGGTCCAATCAATTGACGGAAAAATATAAAATTCAATTAAATAATTAAAATGACGCGTTGCACAAGAGGTGGCTCTTGTGGCCCAAGTGGTCAAGTGGATAACGCCTTGGCGTTCGTAACTATTGGTACTTGGCTCTAGCCTCGGTGGGAACATCATCACTCAGTGACTTGGGAATGCAGGTACATCCAACTGACGAGTCCAAAATGGAACGAAAGGTGCATCCTAGATTCCAGTGGTAGTCACCATCCACCAGTTAACTTCTGATGTGAGCACTGTTCATTCGTGGTTATCAATGACCTTCTTTTTTGTCTCGTAAATACAGAGAGAGATGTTTAGATTGTGAAAAATTTCTTTTGTAAGGCTATTTTTGTGAATTAAATTCATTTTAGATTTCGTCAGGAACTAAAATTAGTTAGAGAATTACTGGGAACCAGCGTGTGCTGGAAAGCTGTTTCATGCTAGTGTGAGACTGTCCAGCAATACTCAGGCGTGATCCTTATAGGGACCACACCCGTAACCCCTCACGTTACGAAGGTATTTTTCGGTACCATCCAAACACTGAATAGGAATTCAATGGCTCATGAATTCTAGCGTCTACCGATTCGATGACCTTTTTTTTCGTGGATAGGATAACTACTGAGAAGCAGAAGGTATTTTGTTCTCCTTGAAGTCTAGAACGATGACTCACGCCTTTGAGTTTCATCAGTGCACGCGTCACTTAGTAGTTAAGTACATTCAAGTTTTCGTGTAGCTAGGCATCGAATGCATAGTATTTCGAGCAGGAGATTGTTGACTGGTGAATATTAACTTCCCAGTTCTTTGTGACAATCCATGCTAAGCTGGATTTGCAATCTTTCTCATGGCTGTTAAACTATCAGATCTAAAATTCAGATCTACCAAAGTTATTGCCAGAAGCTATTTATAAGTAACCTAACGCCCTCGTGACTGTAGTCGCAGGTTTCACAACCAATTATTGCTCACAGGATGCTCATATTTTGATATTCAGGCTATAAACACGCTGAGCTAATAGTTTGCATAGACAACAGCTAATAATAATAACAGCTTTATTCTGGACAGTATTTATATAATGTACAGAACTTTCAGCTGAGTTCATTACATGATATTTTCCCTTCGTACAAAATCTTCAAGTAAAATATTCAATGACAGTATATCCTTCCTGTGACACAATGCTTCCTCAGCTGAAAGACAAACCACTCCATTTCGACACTTTTACTTTGTCTCATTAAAGAAATCCAATCTAGTTGAAAGCCAATTGTAAGAAGTTCAGAAGTGCATTTTGAGACCCAAGAATAGTTATAGCATGTTTAGGGAGACGTTACCAGCCACAATCAGGCCTTTTCTCAAGTTTAGTAAGAACTTGTGAAGCTTGTAAACATTCTAAATACACGCAAGAGTAGATAATACCATTAGAGGTCACATTTTAATCGATTAAAACAAATCGAACGAGTGAAAATATGTATGCAATAGAGAGATGGAAGTTTTTCATAGCCCAAGTTTTAAGCAGGCCGCCATCCGACTACCAAATGTGATGTATGAGTGCAAACAAACTCTGTGGAACAATCCTGAGGTCAGAGAACTTGATTAAAAATGAAGTAGGTTATCAGACAGTGATACCATTTCAAAATAATATAGATGCAAGTAATCTGAAACCAGGAAGATAAACTTACGTGTATAGAGGTCATGTGTTTTAAGTAGGTCAAAGGTCAATTTGAGGAGACTGAATTCGCTGAAAAATAGACTTTTGGCTGAACTTCTTATTTTGTTCTCAGGATACTTCAGGTGGTTCAGGTCACTTTATGTGTACGCCATCAACTGAAATGAAAGTGAACTGTCGTAGTGAAATACCACATCTGTTTCGGACACAAAAAGTCTCCTCATGTGCGACAAAAGCTACTGATTAACTGATTGGAAAAAGTAGTGCTGTGCGTCTGTCTTTAATCTTGCTACACCTTGATGCGTTTGCGAAATTCGCACAGAAGTTATTCTAAACTGACTGGGCTTTCTTAGCTAAGCCAAACCGAGTGCATCGCTTATAAGCTAGGCCCTAATAAACTGGATAGCATACACTACTGGTTTATGATTTGAGTGGTATACAACTATTCATAATATCAGCCAGTCAGTAGTATTATACAGCGCCATGAAATCTTCTTAAACTTGCATTTCTTTTCCACTTTCAGGTATCCTTTCGCAAGCATCAGCAGTGACTTCTATTGGATATTATCGAACTAGTTATCAGAAGGCGGAGAACGACTCTCGACCGGATATACAATACACAATTATTTCCGCTTCGCCATTCGAGAAAGACACCTTCGAAAATGTCAGTGAAACAATAACAATAACCTTTACCTGTTATAACAGCTGGTGATTATTTAGGTTTTTGCATAATAATTGGGAATTACTAGGTATTGCTGGTTAACATATACACATTTAAGATTAAATCCTTGCCTTCTGAGTGGAACACAGGGCGACTTCAAGCTCTTATGTGATAGTGCTTGCTGAATGAGGATGTATAAGCCTCACACTCAATCTTCTGTCGTTCACAGATTTACTAGTGGGATGTAAACAAACCCAGATCTTCAAGAGTGTATAGAACCTAGATAAAGAATAGCGACCACGGGGCACGGACGCGACAATGACCTTTAGTACATGCTGTTCATTGGACAACGGAATCTACTATTATTATAGCGTCGATCTTGTTTTTAAGTAGTTTTGGGATAATGAGTTGGTAACACGTTTCGGGTTACAGTTGGGATAGGAATGGGGTTCAAGTTAGGATCACGGTTTTGATTAGGATCACAGTTACGATTAGGAATAGTGTTAGGATTACAGAGGTTTTGGTTAGGTTGTTTTATTTCTCTTATCTGTATTCTTCTAGTAAATAGGCTTAGGGTGGTCATAATTATTATCTGTATCTTTTAGTACATAGACGGTATTTTAATACAGAAGACACTGTTTTTTTCTGATTGGTCATCCCAAGGTCAGTAGTGCGTTCGCATTACTTGGATCGTTGTAGCGTAATTTTGCCGTGAGTCGATCTGAAACTGAATCCGGAGAACGTGCGTACTGCGCGCCATTGAACAACTGACACACGATCATAGAAGTCCTTCATCCGGGTTTTTTTCCACTTAATAGTATTTATTCTTGAAGCATATCTCTTGGCTTCATCAACCTTATTCAACAGCTGTACGACAAGGACACATGTCAAGTGATCCACAATGGAAAACTCAGTGAGGCTTTTGGAGTAAACACAGGAGTCAGACAAAGGTGCTTATTATCACCAATGATATTCCTAATTGTGGTGGACTGGATTATGCGTCAAACAGTGGGAAACGAGAAGACAGGGATATCCTGGACCGACGTGAAGAACCTAGAAGACCTGGATTTCGCGCGTGGATGATTTATGTTTGATGTCACACAAAATCGAAGACTTACAAGCGAAAACCGACAAACTGGTCGAAGAAGCAGCTGGAGAAGACAGGACTGCTGGTGAACATAGACAAGACGGAGGTTATGAAAATAAACAGCCAACAACAACAGCAACATCCACCGCCAATCACCATCAACGGGAGGGATTTGAAAGAAGTTACTTCATCCACTTATCTAGGGAGCATTGTCTCAACTACAGGAGGAACGGACGAGGATGTCAAAACGAGAATCGGGAAGGCGAGAAACACATTCATCAACCTGAAACCAATCTGGAAGTCTTCGTCACTCACCAACACTCAACAACAAAATTCGGATTTCCAATACAAACGTCAAGTCAGTCAGTTCTTCTATACGGATGGATCAGAAACTTGGCGGGTCACAAAGAATATTTCCAACAGGTTGCAGACCTTTATCAACAACTGTCTTCGTTCTATACTCAAGATCAGATGGCTGGAAAGAACAAGTACCAACAAGAAACTATGGGAACAAACAAAACAAGAACCAATCGCTCAACAAATATGCAGGAGAAAGTGGAGATGGATTGGACACTCGTTGAGGAGGTTGTTGGGTGACATCGCGCGTCAGGCCATCGCTCGAGTGGAACCCGAAAGGGAAGCGGCAAGTGGGACGTCAGTGCAAGGGTGACATGGAGGAGATCGTGTGAAGAGGAGTTGAAACAGTATGGACTAACATGGATGCAGGTGAAAAGTACAGCAGAAGACAGAAGCAATTGGAGACGTGCAGCTGAAGCCCTATGTTCCACTAGGAACCCAAGGGAACAATAATAATAATTAGAGAAACGTACATCTATGGATATCCACTATCGTGGAGAGAAGATTTTGTGCTTAAGCATATCCAAGCCTTGAAACAAATTCATGTACAGGATGCTTATTCAGTATCACTAGTGATCAGTTTCTTTCACTCAAAGTAGTCAATAATACAGAAGAGCATGTGAAAAAGATGAATTTACACAAAGAAAACTAAACGAGAGAGAAGAAGAAAAGAGATTAGAAGTAGACATGATAACACTAGTTTGCATTTTTTTTGTCTCGTTTGCTTGTTTACTTTGTTTTCGTTCAGAATATAAGCAGGTCAGACTTTGTCAGAGTAGACAAAACGAATAACAAATAAGTCGGTACGGAATAAATTAGTGTGAATGAACTTGGCGCGGGAAAAATATAATAAGTGAAATAAACCCAACATGTTTTATTTTGTCATTATGTATATGTGCGTGTATGTGTGTGTGTGTGCGTGCGTGCGTGTCTCTCAGTTATTTAGAAAATAACAAACTATGCAAGAAAATATAGAGTTTTGTATGTATGCTAATTGCCTAGAGCCTAGTTTCAAAACACAGGCAGACGGAGAACCGTTGATTATAGCTTCGATCACGAGTTGATATCGATTAGAGAACCATAAAAGGGTTGGAAGTCCATCAAGTCAGATAAGAGGTCAGTAAATCGCCTATGACACTGGCCGGCGGTTGCGCCGAATATATATATCGTGAATTGGCAGAAGTCGGAATTCAAAGGCTGGCAGTTGGATGGTATCCCAGTAGCTGAATGGTCTACGAGCTCACCTTGTAACTGGAAGGTCTTAGGTTAGAACTCCAGTGGGTGCGTACTTCTGAAGAGTCCCAAACTAGGACATCAGAGACAGCTGTTCAGTACTGCCTAGTGGTTTTTCAATAGTTCTCGAAATGATTTCAACTTGTGATCAAGCCTCTGACCCTGTAAACCGACACCTAATAAAAACGTTAGTCATGGTGTTTCAGTGATGGTAGTAGTAGTATGCTCGCCAACCACTCATCTTCGAGGTTTGGGATCCATTTTTTCTGGTCGACTCATTCCTGAAACCTCACCTAGTTTTCTAGCCCTTTAATCAGCCTGGAAAAGAAGGAAGATTGAGTGTGAGGCTAGAAACCCCACCCCATAAAAATACCATTGCTACACTGATACTACAACCCTTTGGATTTGAAATAGCTATGTGTTTTACTTGAAAGACGGTGAAGGAATGAATAAAAACGCTTTTAAGATGAGAAAGGCATTGATAACAGTGGCAGAAAAATACTGCTAATCACAAGAATATGGACATCTGTGAACATCGCTCCTCAGCATAGTATTATTATTATTTACTATCATTATTGTCCCCTTGGTTTCCGAGTGGAACGTAGGTCTTCAACAGCACATCTCCATTTTATCCTGTTCTCTGCGGTTCCCTTTAGGTGGTGGTCTGAATACTGCCCATAGGTTCTTATTTCCCCTTCTCACGATCTCTTACGTTTCAACCCCTGGATGCCCCACTTGCCATTCGGGTTCAACTCAAGCGATGACCTGGCTCACTACGTCACTCACCGGTCTCCTCAGCGTGTGTCCCATCTATCTCCATTTTATTCGGCAAATTTCTTGAGCAGTACATCCTTGGTTGGTTCTTTCCCATAGTTCCTTGTTGCTCATCTTTTCCGCCGGCCACCTGATCTTCAGTATGGGGCGAAGGTAGCTGTTGATGTTAGATAGCGGTGGGTGTTCGAGAAGGAGATCGCTTTAATAGGAAATGAAAATGTATGGGCAGTTGTGATAGTGGTTGAAAAAAATTGCGGAGAATAGAGTGAATTGGCGATGTGTTGTTGAAGCTCTATCATGTTCTCCCCACTATAACTGCACAAAGTTCTGCTAATAACTTTTCCGTTATTTAACCATTTTCATTCCGTTTTAATTTTTGCAACACAAGTATATTATGCTTTACAGCTGGGCAATTTTCAGCCAAATGCTTGGGATAAATTCAGTAAAGATGAAAATGGTGAGAATTTCGAAAGTCCTATCATCTTACTGGTTACACTGATCAATCCTCGTTCAAGAGGTGAACTAAAGATACAGAACAATAACAGTAACGACAATAATAAGGGCGGCAACTGTGAAAGTGGACGACTGGACATTAATCCCGCCTACCTTAGTGAACAGAGTGATCTTGATCGGTTAGTCGAGGGCATAATTTGGATACACCAAACACTTTACTACATCAACGAAGTGAATCAACTCACCCAGTCCACAGTGACTACCAGTGAGAAACCAATCAGCATAAAGCTACATTTGCCAAGGTATTCGGGTTGTCCACAAATTCCAAACGCCAATAGCTCAAAAGACTTTGAGTCAATTGAATTTTCTAAAAAATTGAAAGCAGCTGTAGCCTGTCTAGCCAAATCAATAACTCTTTCAAACTATCACTTAGTGGGAACATGCAGTATGAAGTTACCGAATGCAAAGTTTTCACCGGTTGTTGAAGACAACTTCAAGTAAGCTGTCAGTTTTGTTATCCTTATTGTTACTAATCATGAAAACTGGAATTCAAATTGGTTTTAATAAACTTTAACAAATTTGATGTTTATCTGACAGATTTCAATCTCTTACCTCACTTGAAAGGAGTCAAATCCTTGCAAATCAACACTTAGGAATTGATCTTCTGGTCACTGGGGATAGTGACTGTCTACGGAACGAAGGCGTCTGGAGTTCTAGTCAGAAGTTGTGACCGGTGAGATTCACGGGGTCATTACATTATGAGTATGCAGAAGAAAGTGGTGATGGATGGATTGGATATACTCTGACAAGACCGCTGGTTGACAGAGCATAGGATCCTTGAGTGGACGTGTGTTCGAGGATGACATTGGGAGATCATCTTGAGGAGAGGATGAGACTAACTGGGTAGTCGTTCAGCCAGCTTTATGATAACTACAAATAACAGGGTAAAATGGAGATGTTTGGTTAAAGCCCTATGTTTCACTAGGAGCCCATGGCAGCAATGGCTGGCTGGCACCGAAGTGTAGCAGTTCGAGTTGCCACGTTCCAAATAGCACACAAAGGTAGACAAGAAAATGAGTGAAGAGAATCAATAGAGTTTTGACAAGTATAAGAGTGAAACAGAATGAGTAATGGTAGAAAGGAATATGAAAGTTTACAGAGACTGAATACATCTGCGCCATTGACAACGATTTTGAGCCATGTCACCTATTGTCTCCAGCCATTGATTCTTAGTGTCCCGAGGGCCCCAACCCGGAAGTCTGCATCTCCCTACCTGACTCAGTTTAACTGTCAAGGATTTCATGGATTGATGTCATGTTTTTGTTTGGCCACCACTTACTCTTACAATCCGAAGTGCGCGCGAAACCTCTCTAATCCATGGCAGCAATAATAATAATTATTATATACAAAATTTGTGGTGTTTGCGAATAGTGTTCGTACTGTTGAAGAATGTCATTACATTCCTATAAAATGACACAAGAGTGTTAAATTCATTTATATAATTTTCTCCTGAATTAGGTTAGCATTTTAATAAAATTGCGACTTATAAGCTCTATCATATTTTGTGTAGTGTTGTTCATCTAGAACCACTGTCTCAAAATACCTCAAAGTCTGTGTGTAAGTGAAGTTCTGGAGAATGAAGACTAAAACGTAGGAGGAGGAGGGTTTTGTTGACTATGAGGCAACAGAAGATGAACAAGTTTTCCATCTGACTATCGAATTGGCAACGAACCAGATCCGTGGGGTCCAAACTGGTTATCTTCACCCTTTCAGATGTTAAACAAAGAACGAAATTTTCATATATATATATATATATATATATATATATATATATATATGAAAAAGAAAGGCTGCAAGACAACCTAAACTGAAGCAAGAGTTACTGAGATTTCTCCTCTCTTTCTGTCTACAGCTTTTGTTAGAATGTTGAGAAGAAAAATCAATACAGCTATTCAGTTGACCACATTACCTTTTCATACTTTCTCCTATACCTGCTTAACTTATGCAGGTGTGTATATGTGTGTTCAGAAGTTGCTACTTTCAGAACACAAATCCGAATTAGTTAGTAGAGATCTGATTTGCAATTAATAGTGTTCTCTGAGATGGTTGGTTTGGTTGCGGAGCTTTCGTAGTCCTTCTGCTAGACATCTTCAGCGCCATATTTAGCATAAAGTTAAATGATTTAAATTCCTTCATGAGTGATATAATTGCGTCTCCCGGTAACCATCTTTACATATGTATTGACCATTTTATATTGACTTGGATTTTAAACTTTCTGGTCACCTGATTTACTTTTTATTAGTTGGTATATTTCGTCTGTATTAACGTGTTTGTTAATTGCATTTTCGTTTGAGTACCAGGCTTCTAGGAATTCCCTGGCACTTTTGGTGTTTCCTCTGTCTAAGATTTCGACATTATCCCAATCAAACTGATGTCCATAATTGTCTATATGCATTGATACTAAAGAATATATATCGTGTCTTTTCATGGCTGATTTGTGATCTTGGATTCTAATTCGAAGGGGACGCCCACTTTGGCCGATGTAATGCTTGTTGCAGTTCATACAATTTATTTTGTAAATGGTATTAATTTTATCTTCTTTTTCTGTTGGATCTTTCGGTTTGCACAATATCGAATTAAGCGATTTGACTGGCTTGTGTGCTATATCTATATCAAACGGTTTCAGTATTCTAGCTGTTATTTCAGAGATATTACTCATGTATGGTAGGATGAATTTTCTTGTGGTCTTTGATGATGGTTCTTTGTTGGTGTTTTGATTCGGCTTTAAACACTTTTTGATGAAATTTTGTGGATAACCATTCTTTTTGAAGACCGTTTGTAGGTATTTTTCCTCCATTCTTTTCAACTCTGGAGTGCTACAGTGTGTCTGAATTCTTTTAAACAATGTCTGCACACAGTTTCGTTTGTGAGTAATTGGATTATTGCTACTATAGATGAGTATTTGATCTGTGTGTGTTGATTTTCTATATACTTGTGTTTCTGAATTTCCTGTGTTGGTTCTCCTGATTAAGACATCTAAAAATGGGATTTTGTTATCTAATTCTTGTTCTCTTGTGAATTTGATGTCTTCAAATATGTTGTTTATTAATTTATGAGTATATTCTAAATCATTTCTCTTAATTATTACAAATGTATCATCAACGTAACATATCCAGATTTTCGGTTCAATTATAGGCAGAGCTATTAATTCTAATCTTTGCATGACGGCTTCAGCTATTAGTCCTGATATGGGCAATTCCATTGGTGTTCCTTTTATCTGATGAAATATAAGGTCAAACAAGTCTATCAGGGAATACTTCACATATCATTCATCCTGTTTGAACTTCTGCTATCGAAGAAATCCATCCTTTTTCTTAGATTCATACTGATGATGAGTTCCGAATTAGGACGAAACAGTCGTCCAGTAGTCACTGGTTTCCAGTGATGCCACTCCAAGGTCAAATTTTACAAAAACCACCACCAGATAGACTGAAACTGTCTCTGACCTAGTTTTCTGCTTATCTGCGCTGTCAACCCAACCACTCTGTAGAAACAAATTTCAATGAGATCAGAAGTTGAGTAGCTTTCTAGGCTGTAAACTCAGTACACATGTGAATTTTTCAATATATACTTGAATTGGAAGCTTTTTGATCACTTGAAGTAACTACCAAATGAAAGAGGAAAAAACAAATTTAGCAAACGCATGTCTTTTGAATTTCATGTCTATCACTGAGAAACCATTCACTATTCATTCACGGCCGAGCACAGGTAACGAATAAAAATAACTCTTCTTATCAACGAGTCTAACACGATTTATCAGAGCAACTTGTAACAAAAACTGACAGGTAGTACAATGCTTTTCAAAATGCACGCTTGTCATTCACAAAACAATCCTTGCGAAACAATAACCTGTGAATTGGTTTGGCTTTTGTTATATTTTCCCTCAAATCCTGTTCCTGTTTAAAGACAACATGGATCGATAACTTTTCTGAGAGATAAGCAGCCTTACAGCAGAGAATTTCTGTGGGCCAAAGAAGAGAAACAGCCTTCAGGAAGCGTGGTTAGCTTTGTATTCCATTGGTTTTTAATTGTTATAAGAATTTCATAGCATACGCAGCAACTGTTTATACAGAGAATATATATCTCCCGTGGTTAAAATTTTGGTTTATTGACTTTTAAACCACTCAGTTGAAGCTCTATGATAACCAGTGTGTGAAATCAAATCAAGCCCCAGTAATAACATTCTAACAGTCAAAAATATTTCTCTGTCACATTTCATTTGCGAACTCTCAGTTTTCCACTGTCGTGTTTTCGAAATCTTCACTTACAAATTCTTGTTTTCTAATGACATATCATCAATTCAGTTCATCTATATTAAATAAGGCAGTAGACATGCTCCAAATTCGTCGACTGAAGTGACATTTAAACATTTAAGCGTAAAATATGCTCGAAAAGCTTCTATCTAACAGTCCAGTGGTACTGTTATTAGTTTCAGTGTAGACTTTAAAAATGAGGGATCATTCAGAGATTCCCAGTGGAGATATATCTCAAAGACATATCAGTGTATGCGTCAGATTTCACTGTAAGCTCCCATCTCCTCAATATCATCCTCAGACTAGACGCGGACGACTCGTCGTTTCCCATTCACCTTCCACTCAAGCAATGGCTTGGCCCGATATATCATCTAACCGTGTGAGCATTGTGTTTCTGATGCATCTCCCCTTTCTCCGGAATATTTATTAAACAGTAGACTCGTGATTAGCTCCTTCCCTGAGTTTCTTGTTGTAAATTCTTCTCGCCGACCACATGATCTTCTTTATGGAGCCAGAGAATTCAGATGTTGATAAAAGTCTGCAGTAGCCCGTTGGAAATGCTTTTCATGACGCACAAGCCAAGTATCTGACTTATATAGAAGAACTGACTGGCTTAACACTGATGTTGAAAATCCGGATATTGTTCTTTACGCTGAACGCGGTAGATTTTCAAACAGATGTCAGAGTGGTGAAGGTCTTCCTTGCCTTTCTGATTCTTGTTTTGACAAAATCATCACCGTTCCAACTGTATAAATCGAAAGAACGTTGTCTAGATGAGTGAAGGGATTAACCTCTTTCAAATTTTCCCGTTAAAAGTGACTGGTGCTTGTTGTTGTGGCTGACATATAGTTAGTTAAATTACAACTTCAGGGCCGCATACAGCAGGTAATCAGATAGATAATGGTAACTAATTCGTCATTTGGCTTCAGTTTATTCCTTGTCAGTGGAATCCGTGTACTTCAATCGACTTTTAAGTGTACTTTGAAGAATATTCGCCAAATATGCCCACGTTTTGGATTTCGACTCTCGACCAGCTCCCTACGCGACCTCCGTTAACCGGTAGTAAGCGTGGTGAAGGTGGTAGGTTAGGCGTGAGGCTAGTGAACCCGTGGCTACTGAAAATTCGAAGCTAAAATTGCAGCCCTATATCTTTCTTGTCAGACCTTTCACTGTCAATCTCTAAATGAGCTTCAATTCTCCTACAATAATACTTCCTTAAACGGCTGAAATAAGCTATTTAAGAACACAATGACCTGAATTCATTAATAATTCAACATTTGAGAGGGAGAAAGGAAATTTCGAATTTGAACCGAACGCCTTATACAAAGAGTATTAGCATGATAAAACCGCCTTAGTTTTGAATGCTTATTGATATACATATATATATATATATTCTATAGTTTGGTTTGTAGGGGTTAGTTATGTTTTTACGAGTTGATCACGGATTGATATCAGTTGGAGAACCACTGAAAAACAGGGAGTACTGGACAGCTGTTTCTACCGCCTAGTTTGGGAATCATCGGCACTACGCACCCTTACAAACCAAACTACAGAAAATTGATCTGATGCTCGCTAGTGACTTGCTACAGGATGGAGTTTCCTGGAGTCAGTTCTAGTGAGAAGTCGTGACCAGTGAGGTCCATCCAGATGTCACGTGTGACGATGGACGTCCCACCGATGATATAGTTTGGGGTCGCGCTAAATCATGAATTGGTGGAGGTTAGAATTCACGGGCTAGCCATTGAATTGGGTCCCAGTGGCTGAATGGTATACGACCTTTCTGGCCTTGTAACCGGAAGGTCCTGGGCTCAAATCCCAGTGGGTGCGTACTTCCGATGATTCCGAAACCAGGATGAAACAGCTGTCCAGTACTCCCTGATTTTCAATGGTTCTCTAACTGATATCAGTCCGTGATCAACTCGTAAAAATTATATATATGCAGTAATGAATTATTCTAACTTCTGAAGCCGATGAACGTAGAACTGGGAGAATTCAGTATGCACCAACTCGAAGGACTAGACGCCAGACCTAGTGATCAGACAAAGCACCCACTACAGTCCTACACGGGATCATTTGCAAACATGAATAGCTCACTGGTAACGCCTGTGGTTGTCTGGCACTTGGTGAAATTGATCTGAGCCTCAGAGTGGATATGACTTCCTTAAAGACTGCAAATATGCTTTGCTGATGGGGGTCATCAAGCACGACACCAAGATGGAGGGCTCCCAGTCAACTGCCTCCGATCTCATTTAACATCAGAGTCAACTTCCTCTCAGTTGGTCTTTTCTTATAAGTCCGCCTTAC